GTGTTTCTCAGGACAGGAAGGAACCCAATTTAAGCGGAACAGGGGTTTTCACTTTCCATTCATAAGAAAATGGAGTTTGTCTCTTTGAAAAGTCTAAGCATGATGCTGCCGAGCTCCCCAAACTCGCTTCAAAGCTTTGACTCAGCCAAGGTCATAAATATTCATGAGCTGGCGGAGCTGATTGGTCCGCTGTCTTGCATAATCACCGGGGATTGGTCCGAGGCGCTCCGGCTCCGCTGGACTAGAGCGGGCGAGGCGGCCCGGCCTCGGGAGAAACGCGTCCACACTTCCCGGCCGGGGCTCCTCTGCAACAGAGCGCGCGGTGTGGAGCGCACAATGGGCTGCAGCGCCCGCGCGGGGACCTCAGCGGCCCGTGGCTCTTCAGCCTCCCGCCTCCCCTGCGCGCCTTACTTCCCAGAAACCCACCAGCGGCTCGGCGCAGCCGCCCTCCCCCCACTACTGTCCCCACCCTCCGCCCGCCCCCAACACCGGGACAGGGGCACCGCTTCTCCTAGCCGCAGTCACCCGGTCCGGCGCTCAGCTAGCGCGGCTCCGGAGCCCCGGCCGCGGCCTCGGAGCGCAAAGTCGCGCACTGCGGGGTGCGGGGGGGGGGCACCAGAGGCGGCCAACAAGGCGCTGTCCTCCCGAGAGTCGTGTGCCTAGTGCAGCGCTCTCCTTGGCGGCGCCTCCCTGGCCTGGGTCCGCTCTGCCACATCCCTGGGGTCGGGTTTGGGGCCCTCCAGGCGAACTCACTCACTCGGCCGCCGCGCCGCCGCCGCCGCTCCCTGGGGCCCGCTCGCATTGCTCCAGGCCCAGCTGGCCACTCCAGCTCGAGGCTGCACCGGTCTGATTAAAGCAGAGCGCGCGAAGAGCCAGGAACCCGCGCTTCTCCTCCCAGGAAAGGCGGCCGCACCGCCCCCTCCCCCGAACACACACCCCCTCTTTCCCTCTCAACCTTCCTCCGCCTCCCCCTCCCCTCCACCCCTCTGCGCCGAACGCCCTGGGCTCACTCGCCCCAAGGGCGCGGCGCAGAGTGGAGCCGAGGGGCCGGCGGGCTCAGTTCGGCTTGAGCCTCGGATACCAGGGGGTCATTTTCCGGCCTCCTGGGGTCTGGCAAGAGTACCCCGGGTTTGGGAGTCCTGCGGACCACCGAAACCCGCGGCAAAACCAGGCCGGTGGTAGGCTCGCAGATCTGGTTACAGACTTGTCTCTCATTGTCGCCCAGGATCCTCCTCATCTCCAGTGGCCAAAGCGGGCTCCACTGGGCCTGGGGGCAGGGCTGGCAAAAGCTGCCACGGCGCCTTCTATCTTCTGGGGCGCTAGGTACAGAAAAGCGCACAAAAGCCCCCCGCCGCCGCCACGACACAGCCACCCCCACGAGGCGTGGCGCGCACCACGCTGTCTGCGAGGGGCTGTTGGTTCCCCATCCCGCCAGCCCCACGGTGAATCCCAAATTACTTTGTTAGGTAATTAGAAAGTGTTGATAATTATTTCTTTCATAATTTAGCGGTGTGATGGGAACGGGGAAATGATCTTGTGAAAGTTCACACGTGCAGATGTATTAGTTACTGATTCATTTGATTAAATGGTAGTCTCAAGTGCTCGGATCCGCAGCTGAAGGCGCCCCATTAGCATAACACTGATGTTTAATTTTCATACGCATAATTAGCCATATATTTAACACTAATAGCAACATGCAGCCTTTCAGCGTTAAACAGCCCGGGATTTGATCTGGCCTGAGTTGAACCTTCGGCGATGCACCTTCCCCTGTCTGGAGTGCGCACTGATCACAGGACAAACCTCTGTAATCAAGCACATTTTGGCAGAGGGAACACCAATAAAAATGAACATTCAAAACAAATTACATCGGTGCTGTCGTTAGAGATATTAGTGGAAGGGGCTTCTCTCTTTTTTAACTTCTGTAGCCGCAGCTGCTGCCCGCGGAATTCCTCTCCTTTGGTTTAAGGGCATGATGTCGGGGGTAGCAATATTTCAGGCAGCGTGGTTGGAGCAAAAGGAAAAACAAAAGCAAAACAAAACAAAAAAATCCTTCAAACCAATAACTGGCTTGCCAACGTTTAAAAAGATTTTTTTCCTTAATCACCGAACCACAGGGTGATGCTTTGTAGCAACAACCAGCTAATGACTCCGCCACCAGACTAGCCCCGGAGCCGCTCGACTCCTCTTGATTTCCGTGTTGCACTTGTGGTTTTAACTGCTCCTTCCCAGCGCCTGTTGCGGGGTGTGGAGTGCGGTGCGGTGCGGTGCGCCCAGAGCCGCACGGATGCCGCCCGGGCCCCTGGTCTCTTGCGCGCACCTCTAGCGGGCCCTGCCCACGTAAGTGATCGCCGCGGCTGGCGCCGGGTCGGGCTTGGGGCCGAGGGAAGTGGCTGTTGACTTCTGGCGCTCAGGGCTGTACGCGAGGAAACCCGACGGCTGGGCGGCCCATGGGCCAGTTTATTCCAGAGAACTGTAAGGTGGGGGAAGAGGAGAGAGGCGGCGACGGGTCGCGACCGTCTACAGGGCTCTGTCCACATCTGGGAGGGGGAATCCAAGCCTTTCCAGCGCAGGGGACCAGGCTGGCTCCGTGGAACAAAGGACCCGCACGCGCCCTCTCAGGAAACGGTTTCAGAGCCTTGTTTATTTTAGAAATGCATTATATGTGGGCGAGGGAGTGTCTACACTCGGGAATTTTTTCTTAGCCCCAGAGAAGCAGGTCCGGGGAGGGGCGGCTGAGCCGGGGCCCTCGGGCGCTGAGACACCGGGCCTTGAGTAGCTTCACAGCGTGCGATCTTACCTCCATTCTGTGAGCCGGGAGTGGATCCCTCGCACCCACCCCCACCCCACTGCTAAGACGACACCTGTTCTGAAACGTTGGTTTGCTTAGATCTTTGCCTGTCCCAACCCTCACATTTATCCTGACAGTCCCGGATTCCGAGTAGAACCTGTGGGACACACCGCACGACCCGAGTCCGGTGGTGTTAGCAGTAGCCACGCGTGGGCTGGAGTCCCGGCGGCCCCGGGTGAGGTGTGGGGCCAGTTCAGCTGGAAGGTGATGGTCGTGGAGGTGGTGGTGCACACGGTATTTTTAAAATCTGCTTTCTAATTTCAACTTCAAAGCATGTTAAACGGAGTTCGTTCTAAATCAAGTTTGTTTCCTACGGAGCTGCTGATATTGGCTGGTGCTGGTATATATGCATATATATGTGTGTGTATAATGTTTAAACTAGGCTTAAACTAGTTACTTTAATAAATAGGATTATAAACCTGTCCCATAAATACTTCCACCTCAGAATAATTGCTGCACAAACAGCATGTTATCCCAGTGGTTGGTAAAATCCTGTGGTCCTAATAAAATTATTCCTGGGGAACTTGGAGTAAACTGATCCGTAGATAAGATAAGTGGCTAATGTTGCAATCTGACTGCTCTAGGAGAGAAGTGAAATCATTATCTGGCAAAGCTCTCCCAAGGCACTTCTCTCCCAAGGCCATCTGGGCCAGGTTCCTTCCCAGAGAATCGGGTTGTTCGGGAGCAGTAGTCTCAGTCTCTAGGCCTTTGCTTGGCCGATGTCTCAAGCACCCCGAAAAGTTTTTCTATGGTCCTTGTAAATCTTCAACCCCTCCCTCGCCTTTTCCAGCTCTCAGATCCACTTGAATTGGAATCACCTCTGTCCAAATTCTCCATCCCTGCGTGCAGAGAAAGGGAGCTGTAAGGGATGGAGGGTGCCCAGGAGAATCTGAGTTCTGGGAAAAGCTTGAACTAGCCACTTTTCCAAGTGTACTTATTGACCTGTTTCCTATCTCTTCTCCCAACACTCTGTGTCACAAAGACACAGAGTGTCTCCTGGGTCCTGATCACAGAGACCACCTGTCATGGCAACTACAGGTGCTTGCATTTCCTTGGTGCGCTCCAGCCCAAGCTATATTTAGTGGGCAGCAACTTTGCAAAACCCGCTTCAGTAGAAACAAAAGTTAGCGCAACCCCTGGCTGCCGGGACACCCTCACCAAACTTGTTCCTAAAACTATAATCAGAGGGGGGCTATTCTCTATGTGGCCTACTAGACACCCAGCACCTCTTCACCTGAGACCAGGTGTGAACAGGTGCTGGGGGGGAGTGGGTAGTGTGTACTGAGGAAGGGAGGGTATTCTGATCAGAAATGGGCCTTTGGGAAATGCAGAATGTGGGTGCTTGGATTTTCTGCTTCCGAAGCAGGTGGAGCTGCAGGCTTGCCAGTTCCAATCCCAGCTAACTTGGCTCTTGCCCTCTGAAGTTTCCATATCTTCCCCTGCTAGAATCCTCTGGGTCTCCAGCAGGAGAGCGCAGTTCAAAGGGGGCCAATATGGGGAGAGGTCAGCTTAGGAGCTAGACCAGCTGGACACTATTCACACCTGGACTGGTGGGGCCAATGTTCTAATTTCTAGTGCAACAGACGGTCGTGTGTGTGTGTGTGTGTGTGTGATGGAGGGGCGAGAGGGTCCCTCAAAAGTAACCTCAGGAATGGCCGCTTGGGGCAGGATGAGGGGTGTGAGGAGGAGCCACAGGGGACCAGGAAGGTTCTGTTTGTGTACAGGCCACTGTAGAGGCCAGACCCAGGGTTCACAGGCAAGGAAATATTTGTAACCAACCCCACCGTTTGTGGGCTAATCTTTTCATCACAAAGCAGCTATGAAGGGAAAGGAACTGGAAGGGCTGGTGCCAATGTGGGATCCACAAGGGGGAAAGAAGAGACTTTAAAAAAAAATTCCCAGCTAACATCTAGCCTCATTCTTTCCCCCACGCGCCCATGTGAAAAGTTCAGAAAATCAAAAATTAACCATCTACCCTCTCCTTCTAGTAACTGTCAGAGACCAAGGACCACAGATACAATGGGCTTAGGAGGGGAAAGCTTTTTACTTGGGCAGTCAAGACAAGGAAAAGAGAAAACCATGCATCTCTAGAAATTCCTCATCTTACAAACAAGAGCGTCCCCATTCCCCGTCCCGTCCCGCCCCCCCGCCCAGAATCGTTTCCCGCGGTGGGAAGCCGAGCTGCGGTTTCTCCGAAGCCGTGCAGCCAAGGCAGGGCTTGAGATCTGAGTTCCCAACTGCCCCCAATCCCCACCGGGTTTTTCCAAGCCTATAAGCTAGGTTGGTTACTGCGTGATCTCCGGTTCGCCTGTGTCTTCTGAAAGTTCTCCAGCTGGATTTCAGCAATTTAGGAAAAAAAGCGCCCGGCCTCTGCGACCCTCGGGCGGCTCCTCAGGCCTCGTGGGGCAGTTTGGTTAGGATCTGCACGCCCCCCGACGTGATGAGAACTGTGTGCTCGAACTGGGCGGACCTGAAACACACACCGCAGCGGTCAGAAGGCGCACGAGCCGGCGGGGCGGGGAAGAGCAGAACGCGCGAGCCGTCGGACCAACCTTCCCTTCCCATATCATTTAAAAGCAGTGACAGAGAAAGCAAACACCTTTGATTATCCAGGGAGACCACAGTCCAGGCATCTTCCAGGACTTTAAATTCAGGGGATCCCTCGGTTATGATTGGTTCTGTAAGAGGGAAAATATTTACTGCAGGGATCTAATCAGATTCTTGTCAAATATTGTTTCGGCTGATTATGAAAAAAGAGAATAAGAAGGTCCTCCTCCCCTCCCCCCAAGTGCTTCCCCCACGGGTTCCTGTTGTCATCTCACAAGGGCTGATAATTGATGTTGCTTACATAGTATACTACAAACTAAACAGTAGGAAGAGCAAACACTACCGCATTCAAAAATGTATGAAGTTGCCTAGTTCGTAATTTTTTTGAGGAAAAAAAGGGCATTTTAATCAAGCCTTAATTAGGACCCCGTGGATAATAACCACCCAAACACCAGTCCCTCTTATAAATACCAGTCAATTTTTAAAAATATTTGAATTTTTAAAACATGCTTAAAATGTTCATTAATCAGCAAATAACAATTTTCTTATTTCACGCTAATTGCTTCTCCATTAAGTACCACAGTCAGACATATGATGCCGTTAGGGTCTTAGATGATTGGAATTTGGTAGTGACACCAATCACATGATCAGCCAGGAATGGGCGGCCAGACAGTACGTATCACTTGCCGACAAGGAGCAAGAGACATGATCACTTCTAGTTACTGGGTGTTACGGGGCGGGGAGGGGGGGGGAACCAAAACAAAATAAGACCAAAACCCCAAAACCAAACCAAAACAAACAAAAAAACCCACAAACACCACATTATGCTGGTAACAGAATTAGAAGTTGGATGGCTGCCGTCTCCTAAATGTGTCGGTAAGTATCTGATTTAGGAAGATGGGGCTCAAGGATATTATTTAATCAGATTTGCTATGCATCTGAATTATTTCATTACACTGATTGGCTTTATTATTCCTTCGTGGGACTGCAGGGCCTAGGCCAGCACTGCTGCCTCCATCCAGGAAGCCACGGCTCTCTGAAGGGGAGCTTGGGCACTGACCTATGGTGAACGCCATTCCCTCCTCCATGAGTAGATCGCTGTCATTTGCTGCAAAACAAAAAATACGGGGTAGGGAGAGTGAGAAATGGAGAGAAAGAGAGAAACAGAATTAGAGGGGCAGGATTGCTCAAAAAAAACCTTGGTCTTTTAAAAAAATTTTTTTTCTTTTAGGGTATGAAGAAGGATGGAGATTTCTAGAAACCTGGTAGTGGCCATCACCAAGGAATGGGGTTCTGAGCCTTAGCCTTTGCATTTTCTTTGCTTGGGGTCAAGGCCCCTGGGAAGGGTGCACCAAGGTCTACCAGAGGCTGCCGGGGTGTTTTTAGACACCTGTTGCGGGTTTTAGACAACCTCCACAGTCCCCTGGCCACTTGCTTCCAGGTCTCCTGGCTTCACTGGGTCCTAGGCCCTGCCCACCACCCCAAAGAGAAAGACATCTTGGGGAACTGATACAAAGGGAAGGCAGTCCCTTAGGGTGCAGATCAAAGCAGGAGGCTAGGACAGGGGTGACTTGAAATAACTCCGAGTGTTGGTGCAGGGTGGGGCACACGCCTGAGACACTCTTTCTGCACTCCTGAGCTGCCTCAGGTGGGGCTCTTTGGTGCAAAAGGAATTCTGACCTGCTGGGTCCATGAGGATCTTCCAGGGAATGGGTTCTAGGCAGTATTTCTTCTAGGGCCTGCTTCTACCCCAAGCACACAGGTCAAGGCCCAACTTTCCTTCAGTCCCTGTCCAGGTGTGCAGCCCCCCTGGGGGGCACTCTATAGAACTGCCTCCTACCCTAACCACTGCTTCTGGCCCACCCTTGCCTTCTCATTGTAGGGTGCACACCCAGGCAGGGAAAAGCAGGAGGTTCTGGGGAAGGAATACAAGGGTGGGTATAATCTAGAAATCACTAAAGAGTACATGCTGCTAAATACATCAGCTGTCAACGCTGTGTAGGATGTAATGAAGTTTAACCACAACAGTCAGCGGTTAGAGAAGGGGGTAGAAAAAGAAAAACAGAAAACAGTCATATGTGCATACTGCTGGGACAATGATGCAGTGGCATTTTGTTTTTAGTAACTTTTTCTAGACAAATATCCCTTGTGCCTTCCAGCCATCACCCTTCAGGGGAAGACAAAAAGCAAAATAAACCCTATTCGGAGACTGAAACTGCTGGGCTCTAATCCAGTAACATAGTAATGTGCTGGTTACAATTAAGTAACTCCCCCCCACACACACACACATGCACACACATGCATACACACAAAAGGATGATCATATGAATTCAAAGTTAGAGGAACATCAGGAGCAAAACTGCCTTATTCTGATTCCATCCAGTAAATAGTTCCCAAATTAACTTCCTTACCATGATGCCAAATTTCTGGATGTCCATGAAAGTAAGATCCTATCCCATGCCCCACAAAATGTGGACAGACTTGCAAACCATTCTGATGAGTTATGTGGCTTTAAAAGTGACCAAACAAAAATATTTAATTAAATTAGGTAGGTTTTTAATGCATTCTTAGGTAAAGTCACTTTAAAATGGTCTCTGAAAGAGAAAAAATCAGTTATATTTAGAGCCAGATAATAACAATGTTTTCATTATTCTGGAATAATTAAAATTTTTGCCATTGCATGCAACGACTCCCTTTGGATAAATGAAGAAAAAGGTATGTATTGAACAGTACTTTGCTTCATTTACCTTAGTACAGCATTCAAACAAGGCCACTTTTGGACAACAAATGAGTGTGCACGCACACATATATAGATTGACATGCATAACCAAGACACACGTGCATAGAATGCACGTCATACAAAGTTGCCTGGTTTGTATGAGGTTTCACAAAAGACCGTGCAAATTACTACTGATTTGGGAACTGAACAGAGAAACAAAAATGCAATCTAGAAATGTGACCTCCTACTTTTATAGTTTCCTTATTCTGGCCTATTTCAAAACATTATACATTTTAGAAACAGACACACTCATACAAAAGGTCAAATTGCATTGTCAATATTCCTGAAATACTCCAAGATTTTGTCATCATTTGGGATTTTCACTCAAGACTTATGTCATTAACAAAATGCACACAGAATGCTTTTTAATCACCGTGATGTTTAAGAGAAGCTAGTATTGTGATTCCTAATTCTTAAAGCTTTATTAGTTCTTTCTACATGCAAATGTACTGGGTTCCATCTATTCCATATAAATGAAGTCTGGCATATAGAATCCAGCCCTAAAATCCTCATGTACAAAGTTAAGAAGTTGTTTTTGAAATCAGGTGAACATACTCATTTCTAGGAGCACCAGAAAGATACCAATATAAATGATGAACAATTTATATTTTCATGTGGATGAGAGGCATAGTGCCCTAACCCTAACCATAACAATGGATCAGGATTTATAGGACTACTGTTTAAATTCAAAGTCAAAGTTCTTAGATCCCAAACTAGAGTTTGGGATTAGTTGACCCTAGGTTTAGTTGAACATGAACTCAAAGGCAGCATCTCTAAGAGCATTCATGTCAATACATTTATCTCTGAACACATTTAACTTTCATCTCCAGACCTGCAAGATACCTTCCCTTAGACCGGGATGTCACTATAAATAGCAGATGGACAGCCCCTCATTCAGATTTAATTTCCATGTAACTGACAGCGCAGAAATAGGTAAGCTATGCATGTGTCAATGACCGGAATAACAAGTCAACATTTTTATCTCTTAAAGTTGTACTTTATGGTTATAGTTATTTCTGTATGTCTTTGCACTTGGGGCAGGAGGTATAAAAGCTTTTCCAAGGTGCTTCTATCTGTACCACATAATTTCTGAATAAAAACTGAGAATGGAGAGTGGATAGAGGGTGGAAGAGAGATTATTAGATAAGACAATAATGATCTAGACTTTTTTTTTTACAAGAATGGGTTCTACCTAAACCTGTAAATTATGTGACTTCAGTCCCAACAAACCTCAATGATTCTAAAAACATTCAATATTGTTCGCCTATTTTCTTTCCTTAAAAGAAAAAAAAAAAACAACCTAGGATCTAACTGATTGGCAGGCATCACGGCTACATCTTAAATGTGTGTTACAATGGCAATCTTCATTTTAATTTCTGATGAGAGGAGAGGAAGAAAGCCCACTCTGAAAAAACACTTGGGGTCCCTCCGCCATCACACCTCTCATTCCTCTTCATAAAAGAAGCCGTGCAATTACAAGGTGGCTAAAGATATTTGAGTGCATTCTCCTACAACAATTTACTGCCTGGATCCTGCTGGAACTTACGGTTATAGGAGGATCATAGAATGTATGTGTCATGAATGCAAAGGTCAGGATTTCACAGCCGGGTGGAAAGAGGAAAAGCACAGGACAAATTTTGCTCAGTTCCTTGGGTGAGCACCCATCTCAATGCTTGATTCCCAGGAGCTAAGTATATAGTTCTGTCTGCTTTTCAGGGTATTTCCCTTTTGGATTTGTAGTGAGCTTTTTAACACATACTTACTGGGACTAAATGGGATCAAATCTCACTAATGTTCCTATTTCCTATTTAAAACCATGCCCCTTCTACTATTTTGGAATATACGGGAAGCACGAGATTATCTGCCCTGATTCTAGGGCTTAAATCTAACTTCATAAGAGACCATCCGAGTGACCTGTCGTAGCAAATTCCACTCTAACGTGAAAGCAAGTGGCAGCATGGGAAGGTGGAGCATACGTGTGCTTCCCTTAACTGGTGTGTTGCGGGAAATGGAAACAGCTGGGTGGGCAGGGCTGCCCAAGAAACGTAGCGGCCACTCCCCAGCACCAGGCCTCACAGGGCCGTGACCCCTTCTGACTCAAGGGTCTTCTTGCCCTGGACATTCCCACTCAGGAGATCTGCCTTCTTTCTGCTGCAACCTACCGAAGAAAAGAATTCTCCTGGTATTAGCTGTTCTGTTCCGATTTTCTCTAACTAAAAATCCTCTCCGACAGTACAACACTTACCCATGAGCCTGAGCGCATTTATGATTTGAAGTCCTTCATAGGGACTATTTGGGGAGGAAGAAGAGGGGAGAGGAAGAAGGTGTACAAATGTAGTTTCTGAACTTACTTTGAAATCATCCTATTATTACAGTTCACGTTTCAGTTACGGTTCCTCTCTTAAGGAATTTCATCTTGTGACGGTTTTCTTCCATTTAATTCCCTTTCATGAGGTAGTTTTCCTCAATTGAAGTATTGTGTAGATAAATTAAAATTCTTAATACATTTCAAGTACATTTTGTGACTAAGAATACATTCCCCAAGAGGGCAGAGGAGTACTATGTTTAAGTGCATACTCTTCTCAAGAAATAAAAATGCACATGGAGATAGTTTTATCACCATTTTTACATGAATCCTATAAAGAGCACTAATTTCCACACGGTCACATCTCTAATTAAATGGCCCCCTGATTTTCCAAGTTCAGTCTTTCCAGACTTTTATTTTAAACAGTAGTCTTTGAACGAAGGAATGCACGAGTCCAAGGATTCCCTCTAATGACACGGAATATTTAAGTACAATTAGTAATATTTTTGAAAGCCAACAACCGTTTTCCAAAAGAGTGGTACATTTTTTTGTTTCAAGCTGGATCACAAATTACTGTATTTTTCTTACAATAGTGCTGAACTTTTATTCGAGGTTTTCTGTTTCCGAAAAGCAGACATGATGGATTGAAATAAAAGATAATTTATTGCAGTGCTTACTTTCATGTGCCGAGAGAAGCAGTGTAATTGTAATTTACAGTAGCTGTCAAGAAAAATCCATCACAGATGACATTAAAATGACTTATTTTGCCTGAGCCACTTATTGTTTAAATGTGCATAATCTAATAGAAAGAGATTATTTTTAAAAATCTGCTTTATATTCTTCTAAATTAATATCAAAACATATACTTATGAATTCAACATTAAAAACCATTTATTGATACTTTCATCATGACACAACTGTAAGTTTAAATTATTTTTGATTGAACTGTCACATATTTGGGATGCATGAATCTACACATTCACAATATTCTCATGTACAGATCATATCGTCTAGAGATAATCTGAATATACAGCTTTAGAGATAATTTAAAGCAAATGGAGATACGGTGAGCATAAGAACACTGCAATCTAAAGTTCACTAGCTATCCCTCATGAAGCAAAAGGGCACACAGAGAACTTTTCATTAAACTATTATAGCCAATACTTCTTCAGAGATATCCTCCTACCCTTCCAGGCTTCAGAGAATTTCAAAATTTGCCCCTGAAGATCACTAGGTTTTTGGTAACATACTACGAATAAAAGAAACTTGAATGTTCTTTTCGCAGTGTACCAGTAGAAGGAGGCTATGCAAAAGACGGTGAATATCTTAAAATAAATGAGACTGAGTTGAAAGACGTTTGTAAACCTTGGGTCTGTGACGATTCCAAGTACTTTTGGCTTAAAGGTGGAGACTGTTTGTTTATTTACTCCCTTGAGATTTTGCCTGAATAAGAAAAGGCAAAATAATAGATGTCCAGAAACACTGCCTTAACATTGGTTAGTCCCCGGTGGCAGACAGAAACCATCTAAATAATGAAATGTATCAGGGTACAAGGAAAAAGTTCATTGTCTATTATTTTTCACATAGTTTTCTAAGTGTAGCTGTTGGGGCTGATCTGGTTTTCAAAGGAGCCTGTACATCTCATGTTCATACTCTGGGAAAACTGACCTTTGTATCCAGGGAGCTAAAATCCAATGTCACTTTCAATTCTACTCTTCTTCTTCTTCTTCTTCTTTTTTTTTTTAATGTAGCTAGAATTAATGTAGTGAATATGTAATGAAATGCATTATCCTGCATGGAGATTTATCAGATTTTCCGACTGAATGCTATGCTTTGCTAGTACTAGCTGGAGCTCACCTGCGTGTTGGTGTGGCGTGTGGCTCTTTTTTGTAAAGAGTTAAGTCGTACACAAAAAAAGGGAACAAAGGTCAGCACCCAGCCGCCACTTGAATGTGAGATTTTTCTTTTTATTCCCCTTGATGTATACTAGGCTCTGTGTTATTAGTCTTAATGATGGAAAATTGTAGTGTTGATACAAATCTTTTTTTCAAAGTAGTAGGCGGGAGCTCCATTTGTTAGTAAGTTTTTTTGTGACTAAAAGCCACGGACAGTACATTTATGTAGCAGTAAAAGGCCTAGATGCTCTTTCCATAGCAGAGCTAATTATTCCTACTGTGACCTTACTGATCTAGCCTGTTCCTAGCACATCTCATCTGCACGCCTGTTCCTCTGTGTAGATGGTGTCAGAGAATATGAAAAACCCTATAATGAAACCATTTTCATGATGGAGAAAGGCTACTGGAGTTGCACTTGCTACAAAGAGGCTCAATTATATGAGTAATTGTGATAATTTTCTACATTCATAGCCTTCAATGGGGAAAAAAGAATGAGAGCCACAAAGGAAAATTACTTTAACAAGAAAGGACAGAGAGTAAAAATGGAAGAAGAGACAAAAAGGGGAAAAAATAACCAGGAAAAAAAGTTTAAAAAATAGATCTGGAGGGAGGAATAGCGAGACAGGGAGAACAACAGAAATGCTCAAAAGCCCATGTGCAGCTGTGTTGCACAATTAAATTGAATTTTTTTTCTGCAGTTGATGAATGTGACTACTGCAAATGTGCCTCTGTAGTTAGCTATCATTTGTTGTTCCGTGACAGGAAAAGGATAATTACCTCTCAGAGAGAATCAAAGGCTGACATGCCCTTTAGACACAGCCATGAATGCAGAGCTCGATAGAATGCTTGAATAAGAATCTAGTGTTCTCTGCCCCCTTCTACTGAAGAATAAATTTTGTTAAAATGCAAGAGCACCACCAGTAAATTTGTTGAACCCTAGGTGTTCAAAAATATGAGATACATCTATCGACTCATCCCATTTGCAAAAATAAAACTGCATTTTGAATTCATTTCTATTATATTCATGGACAGTAAGATAGTGAGATATGCATTAAATTTCTTTTCCCAGTAGGGGTCTGATTCAACATTTCCTATGAAAGAACAGAGAGACACTATCCTTTTTTCCCAGGCTAGTTAGCCTATAATTTAAAACTGTCAAAAACACAATTTTGTTCAAAGTCTTCAATAAAAGCTTCTCAGATATAACCCAAAGAGATTTTACTAAAGTTTGATTCAGACATTGTTACAATATTTTTAAAGCCATACATACATTTAACTGATATTTTACTGCCTTTTTTCTTAAAGTATTTGAGGGCTTACGAAGAAAAAAGGCAGCATCTTTTCAAGGTGACTAAGCCTTCCATCCTTTAGACAAACGGGAAGTATTCAATGGTTCATATTAATGAGAACAGTACTGTAAAAGGTACTGATGTGATCATCTTTAACACAATGTATTACTTTTGAATGAAAACACATATTCTGTATGTCTACTTCAAAACAGTTATGGGGGTTAAAAGAAAAGATCTAAAAGGAGGTAACAGATTACGAGGAAAAGTCTTGAATTCAGAAAATACACATATACTCAAAAAGCAAGCATAGAATACTGTTTGGAAAATAAACAATAGTTTACAGGGAAAAAAATGAACCAGACAAGAAAAGGACATAAGCTCACCCTTTCAGCCTGTTTGCTAATCCACTAATTTGAAAGGTAAGGCTTGCTTGAGCTAATGTTTTTTTAATCTCTGTATCACAGGAATATGTTTCACTTCATTCCTTATAAAATTTAGCTTTTCTCCTGTTTCATTATCCAAGAGTTGGGATGCTTATCCCCTTCTTAGGTACTTTCTTCCATGTTTGGTGTGATTTTGGGTAAAGGAACACTACAGACCAATATGTCGAGCTAAAACTAAAGCAGTCATAAATATTGCTTGCTGCTCCTGTAAGTTTCCTGCTGACCCTAGTATAATTCACTGTTTTAAAATCTCTCTCTCTCTTTTTTTTTAAACCCAGGGAACAACACGGCAGCTTGGCAGTTCACATACTGATATCAGACTGAAATGACGGTTCTGAATCATAAAACATGTCATCAACTTTATACCAAGCTACAAATAATTTGTACCATTTGCCAACCCTCCCTTTACTTGTCAATGTAAGGCTTACCTGATTGTGTTTCCAATTACAGAGAAGGGAGCCCCCGCTCTGCAAGCTGCAACTGCTTCATCTCTACACCTCCTGGCAACCTCCACTAACTTTTTACCACACTCATCCACATTGCCCACCAAAAACGTTTCGGACGTGTCTCCATGGTAGCCATTGTAATAGACCTAAACACAGGCAAACATTTAAAAATATGTCCTTGTTTAAAACCGTACTTTCCGAAAGTATATATTGTGTTCATTTATGTATTTAGTAGATTCATATGTTTCACCCTTCCAGAATTACTCTCATTTCCCTACAAAAAAAAAAAAAAAGGATATGCTAAAGCCTTACAGAAATTAAAAAGATGAACCATATGATGATATTACAAAATCTAAAAATAAATACGTAACTAGAATGGCTGTTTCAGCATTATGATTAGCAATGCTAGTATAATGTTTTGATTCCTCATTTTATTTCTGAGAAGACAAAACTATACATGCATAAATGAGTGACCAAAGACATTGACCCACAATTACTACAATAGCTCTAGAGAACCTAGAAGTATTTAACATAGTGAAAAGTTTCTTCAGTGTCATGAAGATACTTGATCTTTCATTTACCAATCCTACATTTGGAAGTGATAGACAATAAGAAGAAGAAATAAAATAGACTTGTCAGTATTAGACACTAGGAGAATTTCGTTCCAAGAGTTGAAGTGGCTCAATATGGGAATGAAATATGTTAGGGAAAGATCCTGTCTGGAAGTGAAACCTTAGTCAAATGGTCCAGATAGCAGAATGTTAACAGAAAACACTATACATGGGTTTTTAAAGGATTAAAATATAACAAAATAGGCTTAAGAATAAAATTACAGAAAAAAAATTTTTATCAGTTGTCAATGATTCAGTAGGCCCAATAGGATCTTGAAAGACACCAGATTCATTATAAAAAATCAATAATTAACAAACAATATAATAAATATAGAAGGTAGAAGGGACTGGTTGAATACTGATCCTTAGATATAGCATGGAATTTGCTATTTTGCATAAATTTTACCTATGTAATTGTTCTTCACATTTCTCTTTCTCATAAAGTAAAATGCAGAAACTTATAAAAAAAAGATATTTAACTGTATTTAGCTGAGCTTTCTGTCTATCTTAATACTGAGTTAATGTCTTAAATCTGTATACTATTCTGCACCAAAAAAATACTCTACTACACCCTGTAAGGGAAGCAGGAAAAGTCTTTATTCAGTCTTCACTTTATAAGTCAGCAACCTGAGGCATAAACAGGTAACTTGTCTAAGGCTGGTGGCAAAATACAGAGATAGATCCAGATTAACATGGATTATTGGCTTCTAATCAAATGTTTCCTCTACTATGTCAAATGACCTTAATTACCTTGCAATAGAATACTGTTTTATATATTTTTTCCTATTTGCAATCCAAGAAAGTACAAGTTTGATTTTATACACAAATATATTACAGTTACTAATATAAGTGTGTTTTAAAAATGTATAATTCAGTGTTTATGTAACTGTTATTTAAGCAAAAAATATTTTAAAAAATCTTTATTTGCCTTTTTACATTACTTTTTGCTAGCTTTCAAAATATGTGAAAGATTCAATATATATGAGAATAACAATACTTCTGAAAGTCTATGGCAGTTATCTATAATTAGGGTTTATGCTCACAAAGTATTCTTGTTTTGTACTTCATTTATTAAACAAATATTTATTGAGCAACTACTCTAGGCATCTCACAGTCTGTTTTTTTAACATTCAACTTTCAAGGGGGAAAGAAGTCTGTTTTCTTGTGGTATATACTAGATGTAAACAATTATAAAATGCATAATGAGTATTTTCTGATAAAAGTATAGGATCTGATAATGGAGTCTTTCACTTAATAACATATCTCACAGGGAATATAATTTGTGGGGAGGGGTAAAAAATATATAATTTATTAAGATAGCGACCAATATGTTTTCTTGACTCCTTCATATTTCTAGACACTTGAAGTATTTCACATTGCTTTATGAGTTTTGCAACTGTGAAATAATTGAATGTTAAAAATGTACTAAAAGTCTTCAGGAAACAGAAAAGGCATGGAATATTCTCTTTGGATGCGTTGGGAGCAGTAGCAAAGAGTGTGCTGATTTCATTCAAAGCAGCAATATTTTATTAGGGGGTGATTAGGTGAGATAATAAATGTACAACCCCCAAATCAGTTACAATTCAAAAGAAAAGTATATCAGGAAAAATACTTTACTTCAGGTATACTTCATAAAATACCTCCTCCTTCATGACTCTGAGTTGGAAAGATAAACCGACAGAATATATGTGGAGCAAATGTTCAAGTATTCTAAGTAGGACAAAATGGTGTATGAAAGAGTAGCAGCAATACAGGAATCGTTGGCTACGTCACCATACAAACTGATATGAAGAAAAGAGGGCGAGTTAGTTTAAACAACTAAAAATCTGGCCGAACTCAACTATCGGATGCCAATTTCCACCTCATTCTCTCGCCTACCTAAGTTCATGGTGTGGATACAAAATAACTATTATGGAAAATATTTCCTCATCCACAGAAGCTATACTCCTTGAATGGTGTCTATCGCAACTAGTTCTCATCAGATGATTACATTTTATTTACGTATTTAAACCTTATTTATTAATCATCAGATGTATATACAATTTATTTACAATTACATAATCCAAAGGGACCATTACACACTTTTTTAGTGAAATGAACTGCCAAAGAGCAAATAATCCAAGTCTGAGAATAGTGAAAGGCTGAGGGAATTAGAAAAGGTTAGAGCTTGTACAATTTGAAGTTCCCGTGTTAAATCACTTTGGGTTGTTATTTAAAAGAAAGGCTGTTAACCATGCGGTAAAAAGTTAGGTTCAGAGAGAAAAGCACTCTGCTCGCATGCTCCGAGTTCAAGGCTCTCTAGACCCTCTCTGCCACAAATGGAACACGACGTTACCTTCAGGGATTTTACTAAATCTAAGGAACACTGCTAGCAAAAGAGTTGCTGTCCAAATAGACTGACACACAGGCCAATGTAGCCCCTAATGACAGAGTAAGATAATGACAGGCCCCACTCAAAATCAGCAGGAAGAGGAAGATCAATCTTGGCAGAGTGAAGGAAAAATGCTGGCTTTCTTCGCGTTAGCTCATCTCATACATATCCAGCTTCAGCAGCTGCCCAGTGCTGTGGTGGCTCTGCATTAACTACACAGTGGATCAATAACAATTACACCTTCTCAAAAACATGACACATAGCAGGATTGGGTTGACATTTCACTTAGGCCAACATTGATCTCAGTGCATCTGATTCCAGCCCTAAATTCAAGTCAGGCCTGGGTTTACTTGGAATAAACACGGAGTTAAAGACAAAAAAGGAAACCAGCTGCTTGCGTCTGGGTCTAGAAGTAAACAGCGCTTCCCTTGGTGCGGCTCGCATTTTCAAGCCACAATTCTTCCTGGTGCTACCAGCAATTCTCAAGTTGATCAGACTATTTTTTATATTATTTACTCACCGTGACATCAATGTTGATAATATCTCCATCCTGAAGAGGTCGGCTGAAACGTAAACGGAATAAAAATGGTGATAGACAGATCTCAGTAAGAGGAATGTAAAAATAAATACACAAGCCAGTGAATTGCAATGATAATTCAGAGTAGAAGAGGAATAAATGGAAAAACTATATCTAGTCTTTAAGTTACATCAGTCACATCCAATTTTACAAGAAATACAGAGTATGAACATATTGCCATTGTTTAAAAATCTTTTAAAAATTCTTTAAAAAATGTACTTATCAGTTACCTTAATTTTGCAAAGAGCTGAAACAATAGTTGATAACCTATATTTGCCTACATTTGGATTTTTACCATTTATATGGTTAAAATCTAAGGTAAAAGAAATATTTAAGGAACAATGACCTTTTTGGATTACACACTCCTTTAACAAACATTAAATTATGTCCACCTAGAAGCAAAATACTTCAAAATTTTTGTTTTACCCTAATCAGCTTCACAAGTTTGCAGGTGGGTTTCAATTAAGCTAGTGTCTTTCAACATGTGTTATAGATCTCAGTCTCATGTTTTAGTTTCCAAAGGAACAATATGTTGTTAAGCAATAAATACCTGTCAGGAATACCATGACAGAGCACGTTGTTTACAGAGGTACAAACAGATTTTGGGAAACCTCCATAGCCTAGAGGTGAGGGATAAGCATCATGACTGATGATTTCCTGATGGACAAGAGCATCTATCTCTTCAGTTGTCATGTCAACCTAAAATATTAAATAAAGAAATTGTGCAGCAACAGTTGAAGACATTTCCTGCCCTCGCTGACCATGTCTATAGCTACAGCACTCTCAGATGAGACTGTACAGATTTACTGTGATAAACTTGTGATAGAACATTTTGATTAATGGCAATTAACCTGAAATATTTAAGTTGTGCCTTTTTGACAGTCATTTGGGTATATGATGGTGTTATGGGCTGTGAGGAAATGGAAGTTGTAAGCCCTAAGATCCTTTAAATTATCTGTGAGTCATTAAATGACATGATTCCTTTTGAGCCTGAACACTTCACAAATATGTTCCTAAGCAATTCCTTCCTCTTCCTCAAGGGTTAGGGCCTCAGGCTAGCTGAAGCATATAAATAAATTCTCAAAAGTAGCTTCAGTTTAGATGACAAAGCTTGAAAAAGGAGGTCGACCCACACCTTTTTATCTCAGTGAAACCTTGCATGGGTTTTGCAGCAATGATGGGAAGATTATGGATCATTATTTTAAAAACTCAGTCTGATACATATTGTAGAAATTTGGTTTTCACGAATCTTGCTTTCTTTCATACCTAAGTAAATCCACTGTGTTTTTAAAAAGTATTTCTCTCTTATTAGAAGGCATCCAATTGCTCTCAAACTAAAAAAAAAAAAAACCCCTAAAATTGAGTTTTATGAGTACACGAAGATACTGCCATAAACTCATAAGTCATAGATAAAATTCTAAAACAAAATCTTTTATTAAAAATTACCTGTTTCTTCAATTTTTTTCTTTGCGTTGATATTCACATTATGCTTAGTTATGTTGCTATAACAAGTTTATTACATGAAACTCTTAAGTGATTTCACCAAAGAGACTCACTTCCTAAATTCTGCCCACCATCTGGAAATTACAGGCCCATACTTTTTTTTTTTTTTAATGATCCTTATAAAGCAGAGTGTTTCAGATTATTCTGGTTGTCCGTAATTACATTTCTATATTACCCATAGCTTTGTGTATATGCTCTAATCTTGCTTTGCAGAGCTAATGCAAGGAAAAAGGAGACAAAGGATAAGGGAGAACAACTCTTCAGGCACCCAGAAATAATGTGGGCAGTAAAAGCAGAAAATACAGGCAGGAATGAGGGGACAGAAGTCAAAGCTGTCTGCCATTGATCAAGTTGGATAGGCTGATTGGGCCCAAAGTATCTCCAGAATCCTGCTACTTAAAATTTAATTTGGATTTTAAGTTACCTCTAGAATAAACACACAAAATAATGAAATCCCCTTCCCCCATCCCAAGGCTTGACTTGATTTTTTAACAAATTAGATGTGTACACAAGATGAGTGAAAGGGAGAGAGGGAAAAGAGGAGGGTTTGTTGCCCCTGATGTATGTCCTTCTGAGGCTTGGTGAGACGCCACCTTTAAACTCTTCCCAGCCAGGAGGAGGACATGTCGCGCCAGCTGACAAGCCTGACGAAGCCCTTGAATCTGATCTTCATTCTTCACTTCTATGCTGTCTCCCCAGTCGGGTACAATGCCTGTCGTCACATAGTCTGGCTTCTTTATGTGCTTGAGGAAAAAGGATTGGAAATGAAGATCAGAACCCAGCACACGACAATGGGATCATTTTTTCGGACACAGCCTCCTGCTTCATGGAGCTCTGCCCTTCCTGCCGGAGCCCCGACCTCCGAAGCCAGCACGACAGACCCTCCAGGCTGCCCCCAGTTCCTTCCCCTGCCCTTTTGAACTTAACATTGCCTGTTAGTGCTGCCTCTGGATGGTCTGTTAACCTTACTCTGCTTTGAGTCAAACTGGTCTGAAGTAGACTTCTGGTCAAAACAAACAGTAGTTTTCTTTTCTTCCTCCTCCCAACCCTGTGAGAAGCATTCTAGCCGTTGATGGAAAAAAGAGCACCAAGCTTCCAAATTGCCAAATGGCTAATTAAGAGCACTTTCATCTTCTTAACACAAAGATAAAATTTATGCAAAGGATAGCTCACAACACCCTCTCCGAATGAATATATGTAAAAGGCTGACTCTCAAGTCCACTGAAGCCTATTACGTATACACTTTTCTTGCACTCGGCAACTGTACCCAAACTAAGAAGGGGCTAGAGAACAAAACCCAACAGCTTTCTTTTCTTTGTCTTTGTTTCTTTCTTTTTTTTAAGTACATAAAAAAAATACCTAGAACATTTCCATCATTTGTCAAAAACAAACAAAGAAACGCCCCAAACTCAAAACATTCCACTCTGATCACCCTGTAGAACATTCTCCACTGCTTCCTTAAACCTATGGGCAGTATTCAGAAAATAAATACTATTTTACACACAGAGCTTCTTTCAGTCCCAAGGTTGTGCTCAGCTCTTTACAATCTATTTATGGAGACTGCCACATAAGCATTGTGGAGCCGTACCCAGGAAAGGGTACACAGCAGTTGGGGACAGGAAGCTGAGGGAGACAAGACTCTTCAACTGACATCACAGTGACTCTGGCAGGGCTGAGGTTAGGGGGCCGCTCTTTGTGAAGCGCATCGCACCTTCACTTATAAGACCTTCGCCTATTCTTGTGTTCAGATGGGCCCTTCTGATCCAGAGCACGCCAGGGCTTGGGTAGCCACGGCTGAGCTCGGGGCAGGCATCTACTCCTACAGCCTTGCCTCCAGTGCCCTCGAGAGCTCGCCCAGTCTCCGCCCCAGACCGTGCTCCTGTCTCCACTCTGCTCTGTGACGTGGCCAGGTTACAGTCACAGGCAGAGGGGCTCCTGGGTTGTCACTGACATTCTAAAACAATATATTCATCTCTCTGGAGACTTCCTTTCCTTTGCCACCAAGGAAACACCAGGAACACCCTCTGGGCTCCGGTAGCCTGTCTCATTGGCCCCTTTCCACACACACACACACACACACACACACACACACACAAAGGGCCACTCACCTTCAGGGAGTATAATATACTTAATGTGGGTTCACTGTTAAAAAAATGCCTCAAAGGGAGAAGGTAAGTGACTTCTGTGACAAAGCTAGACTTCTTTCAGCTATTCTCGCTCTTCCTACATGACCCCCATGCCTCCTTTATTTTGCATTTTGGAACGTGGATAGATTGTCTTTCCAGAGAATTGTAGTCTCTGAGAAAAAAATCAAGAACGCCCTGAGGCGAGAGGTTTTATTTCCTTACTCTAAAGGAGCGTTCCAAACAGCAGCATTAATACTATGGAGAGTCTGAAAGCAGGCTTAGGAAATAACATCTAGTGTACCAGTTTCAAGTAATCTCTCTTGAATGATCCCAGTTTAACAGTCAATTTTTTTCTCTAAAAGTTAAGAAACTGTAGACATGTGCTTTTACCTTTGTGTTAGAAATTTAATGTAGAAAATTTCGTGGCAGAAACTAATTCTAAATAAGCTAAGCAGCGGTAAGCCCAGAGCTTTATTTAAAAAAAAAATAATAATGTTATAGAACTGCGGATGTTATAGCTTCTCAAATGACGATTTTAGATCACAAACCAAGTTTAAAAATCATGATTCAAATGGCTCAGAAATCAAAGGTGCAAAGACATTTGATCGCTTCTGCGGTTAAGCTGCATCTTGGCTGGAAAAAGCAGCGATAATAGGGCAGTACGGTACCTCAGGGACTGGGTGAGCTGAAGAAACTGCAGCTGGCAAAACTACACTGTGGGAAATCTCTCTTTGTCTCCGGAAAAAGAAATTTCTTCTTTGTTGACTGCTGGACTGCTTGTGTAAGTAGATATGACTGAGTGGTGAAGAGAAAATTCTGTGACAACCTATGAGCAGAAATGGGCATATTTTAAGTTAAAAAACCTAACACAGTGCTACATTTTAAGATGTTGCATTGTTGTCTGTTAAATCATTGTCCTAATCCTTTAGTGGCTAAGAAAGGAAAAGCCCCAAATAGAAAGGAAAACGGTGATATCCTGAGTTCTAGTACAATAATAGCACAGCACATTTATTGGCTAATACTATGTTTACATAAATGTTTGACAATGGAAAACTCCACTCTGATGGGAAACAAACATATAGAAGCATCCGCTAAGTACCAGGTCTGCGAAAAGAACAATTTCTGCTGTGGTACCTTCCCCAGCAATGCCCAGGATGACCCTAGATTCAGGGCACTGCTTGGGTGGCTTTATATTCTTTAAAGCCATTTTCCTTTCAAGAACCATGGGCAAATGGCCAGCTGCACTTTTTGCCCTTGATAGGATTACTACTCTGTGTTAAGTTCACGTGCAGCGAGCCATTATACCGAAATTCACTATGATGAATGCTCAAGTCAGATAAAGACTAAAAACCAGAAATGTAGGGTATGACCCTGAAGCAAAATGAATGTAGGGTCCGAAAGTGCCCACGACAGGAATTTAGAAATAGCTATCAAAATTTTAAATGCGTGTATCGTTTGACTCAGCAACTCATCTCCTAGGACCTTACCTTGCAGATATTATGCAATAATGGATGTAAGACATACCCTCACTTTGTGGTAGAAAAAAATGGGGAATAATGCAAATGTCCATCAGTGGGGGACTGGTGAAATATAGTATGGTATATCTACACAACAGAAAACTATGAAGCTATTAGAGAATAAGATAAAGCATTTAGTTCTATGTGTTGATATGTAAACAGGCCACAATACATTATTAGGGAAAAGACAAAAGCTGAACAATATGTATAAAAAGTCCACTGATGTAAGAAAGAATGTATACATTTATATAAGCTTGTAAATCTCTATAAAATTTCTGAAAATTGATATTCATCAATAGTGGTTATTTCTGGGCCATGTGATTAGGCCTGGGGTGGGGAGGAAGTCTTCCTGATTCATTTTATTTTCTTCTATACTGTTAGATTTTTTATTTTTTAACTTTTTAAAAGATTTTATTTATTTATTTGACAGAGAGAGACACAGTGAGAGAGGGAACACAAGCAGGGGGAGTGGGAGAGGGAGAAGCAGGCTTCC